ATAAATATTCTCCAGTGCAATTGGCAACTGGAAATGAACCAAATATATCTCATCTTAGAGTATTTGGTTGTGCGGTATATGTACCAATAGCTCCACCACAACGTATAAAACTAGGCCCACAACGACGATTGGGTATTTACGTTGGATATAATTCACCCTCAATCATTCGATATCTTGAACCACAAACGGGTGATATGTTTACAGCTCGTTTTGCTGATTGTCATTTTCGTGAGGATGAATTCCCGACGTTAGGGGGAGGAATGATACAAGCCTCACAAGATTTGAGGTGGAAAATAGAATAATTATTATATCTTGATCCTCCTACAAAACAATGTGATCTTGAAGTACAAAAAATCATACATTTACAAAATGTAGCAAATCGATTGCCAGATGGATTCACAGATACAATACGAGTGACAAAATCATATATACCATCCATGAATGTACCCGCTCGGATAGAAATACCAAAGGATCAGGGGGAGAAAAGAATTTCAAATGAGTCTATGGCACAGTTGAAACGTGGAAGACCACCCGGTTCTAAAGATAGAAATCCACGAAAAAGAAAGAAAATTGAGACTGATGATAGTCCTCAGATTGATCCAAAAGAACTGAATGAGGAAAAAGATACTGAATATCAAAATGATGAAAATGGTCTTCAGAACGCAGAAGACAATGAGATTTCCATCAACTACATCCATAATGGAAAGATGTTGGTAAGAAATGAGATAGACGACAGTGATGAAATATTCTCTTTCTCTATATCTAAGGAAATCGAAAATGATAGTGAAGATCCAGAACCGATGTCGGTATCTGAATGTCAAAGGAGACATGATTGGATAAAATGGAAAGAATGTATGGAAGTAGAATTAGACTCATTAAATAAAAGAAAAGTATTTGGATCCATTATCCAAACCCCTGACGGTGTAAAACCAGTTGGATGCAGATGGGTGTTTGTGCGAAAGAGAAATGAAAATAATGAAATTATGAGATATAAAGCACGTCTTGTCGCACAAGGTTTCTCTCAAAGACCTGGGATAGATTATGAGAAAACGTATTCTCCAGTCATGGATGCGATTACGTTTAGATATTTGATAAGTTTGACAACTTCCAAGAATTGAAAATGTATCTCATGGATGTTGTCACAACATATTTAGATGGGTCATTAGAAAATGACATATACATGAAAATTCCTGAAGGATTGAGAATATCGGGGGCATTAAACTCAAAATCCAAGGAAACGTATGCGATCAAATTACAACGATCCTTATACGGATTAAAACAATCTGGACGTATGTGGTATAATCGCTTAAGTGAATGTCTGCTGAAAAAGGGATACGTTAATAACCCTATTTGCCTATGCGTATTCATCCAGAAAACAGCTAGCGGCTTTGCGATTATAGCGGTGTATGTGGATGATCTAAACATAATTAAGACTCCAACGGAAATTGAAAACGCTCGAAGTTATCTCAAAGGAGAATTTGAGATGAAAGATTTGAGACAAACAAAGTTTTGTCTTGGACTACAAATAGAACATCTTCCTAGCGGAATACTTGTTCATCAGTCCAACTATACCAAGAAAATTCTGAGGCGTTTTAACATGGATAAATCAAATCCGTTGAGCACCCCAATGGTTTGTAGATCCCTAAATGTTGAAAAAGATCTATTTCGCCCTTGCGAAGATAACGAGGAGGTACTCGGTTCTGAAGTACCTTATATGAGCGCGATAGGGGCATTGTTATATCTTGCTAACTGTACTCGACCAGATATAGCGTTTGCTACTAATCTTTTAGCGAGATATAGTTCGTCTCCAACAAGACGACATTGGACAGGGATCAAACATATCTTTCGTTATTTACAAAGAACGATTGATTTGGGATTATTTTATCCTAAGGATTCGAAACTTGAGCTAATCGGTTTTGCAGACGCAGGTTATTTATCCGACCCTCATAAAGTCCGATCACAGACTGGATATGTTTTCACAATTGGAGGTACTGCAATCTCCTGGCGTTCTCAGAAACAAACATTGGTTGCAACATCTTCGAATCACGCTGAAGTCATTGCACTTCATGAAGCAAGTAGAGAATGTGTGTGGCTCAGGGCTGTAACCCGCCATATACTAGAAGCGTGTGGATTACCGATTAATATCGATCCAACGATATTATTCGAAGATAATGCTGCATGTGTTGCTCAAACCAAAGAAGGATACATAAAGAATGATCGAACGAAGCATATTCCTCCGAAGTACTTCTCTTACACTCAAGAGCTCGAAAAGAAGAAGGAAGTTGATATCCGTTATATCCGATCAAGTGATAACGTAGCTGATTTATTCACAAAGGCACTCCCTACTTCAACATTCAAGAAGCATATTCAGAATATCGGAATGCGTCGTCTTCGAAGTTTATGAAGAAACGTATGCATATTGGTTCAAGGGGGAGATTGTAAGACTGTACTCTTTTTTCCTCGTCATGGTTTTTATCCCACAGGGTTTTTCCATGATAAGGTTTTTAACGAGGCAGTCCATACTAGATGTCTAAGGGGGAGTGTTGTAAATATACAAGTAGACATCTAGTGGGATCCATATTATCTAGTGGAACCCATATTATGTTCTTCTTAGAAGTTGACCCTTCTTCACTATGAAGAAGCTGACCCTTCTTCACTGACCTTTCTTCACTATGAAGAAGTTCCTTACATTTTCTCTATAAATAGGTCAGTGATATAGTTCATTTGTATACATACGAAATCTGAAGAACTTTCTCTCTCTTCTCTCTATCATACTCTTTCTCTCTCTAGAGCATATCTCTCTCTTGTTTTTCGTCTTTCGTTTTCAACATTTTCCTATTTTTTTCTAAATTTTAATCATTTTTACTAATATATTTAGGGTTTCGATGCGAATTCTAATAATAATAAACTAATATTTATTATTATTATTATTATTATTATTATTATTATTATTATTGTTATACCTAATAATATGCATCAGTGTCTTGTTGTATTATATTATTATAATTTGTAATTATTTTGTTGATTTAGATTCTTTGCTATCAAAACCTTAAGAACTATTCATTGGAGAGAAATCATTTCAGTTAACATGGTCACACTAAATTACCTCACTTGAAATTAGAGATTAATTTTTTTATATCAGAATTTATATATTATTATATTATTCATTAGATTTGAAATTTATTATATTAAAATTTTCATTTTCTGAACTTTTCAATTTTTTTCAAATTAATACCTATATTATTTTTTTCTAAAAAACTTTAAACTCCTACAATATCTCACAAAAGACATATAATTTTAATATCAAATCAAATTAACTTCTAATCATTGGTGTGATAAATCAACACTTAATCTGTAAATCTAGAATTATGTTGAAAGAGTGAAGTGATCGTCAATACTACAGATCGTCAATACTACAGATATGAATAAAGGGCGCTTTCTCAAAAACTACTAAAGTGGAAGAATATAAGATGAATCGAATGCATATTAGAATGAGCGAGAGATCTAATGATTTTATAGGTATGAAACTATATAATCAATCATAATTTTTAAAAAATTGTATTTAATAGTAAACATAATAGTCTAGCTTTTTTATTTTGATTTTTCTTTCAAAATATATTTTATATTTAATAGTAAATATAATAGCAAAAAAATATTTTATAATTTGACATCTTAAACTAGCTAGTGTTAGTTCTATATTTTTTTAGTAGAAATTATGTTGAATCATCTGACTTTAAATAATATATGGTATTATACCTTCATATCATTGCAATAATTATGTCAAAATCCTATAAACATACGTGGGAAAAATAATAAGCATTGCATGCTTTTACCATCGTTGTGGCTTGTTAACTTCGGGTTGCGGATTTTTCTTACCTTATAATTTATAAAAAAAAATAGTTTGATTGAAAAATGATATCAGTCTTTTAAAATTAAAAAAAAAATATATGCACAAACATGTCATCCGAATGTGGCAAGTTCAGCAATGAATCAAAAATTTCCAGGGTTTAAGGCAAAAAGATTTGTTCACAATATTTTAATTTTTTTAAAAAAAAAAACACAAGCCGAAAGATCTGCCTAATTTTCTGTTGAGGTTGTAATGTCTGTATTCTTCCACATAGGCCCAGTTATTTGTTTCTTTTTCTAAAGCTTTTGATTTAAGAATTGGTAACTATATAATATTAATAGCCATCTATTTAAATTATATTTGGATTCTTTTTGTAACTAAATGTAAGAACCATTTATTTGGTTGACCCCCCGTTGCCTCAATTTTCCATATTTCATAAAGCATGGAATTCTTAAGCTATGTGTTATGGATAATATAAATTAAAGCTACAACATTATCCATAATTGAATTGAATTCTATTTTTAAAGTAAATAATAAATATTCAGTTCAGGCTAACTAACTATTGTATCCTGGCAAAATTTATTTGGCTAATTTTATATGGCTTGTGAATGTGATTATTTTCAGAGTAACTATTTTGATTTGAATATATAAAAATGAATCAACAAAATATTATAATATGTTATTTGGATCTAATTCTCAATCTGAAAACAATTAGATATAATTTAAATTAAATTAATACGGGTTAAAGTTGAATTCAATATTAAATAATTGAAAGAATTAAATAAAAAGGAAAACGTTTTAGACAAGTCAATGAGACCTTCCTTTGATTTGTCATTTCCTAACTATGAAAAGGATATAGTTTTCTATATTAGCCGTGGAAAATTGGTTTCGTTATTTACATTTCTGAGAATCATATTTATATAATTTAAAAGTTTTTAATAATTATGAAGAATGATGGTTCATTTAATTTAATTGGCATAAAAGATGGCAAACATGCCATAATTCTATAAGGTATGATAATTATACCCCATTTATGAATCCGATAATCCCGCTATCCATCGTAAAATTACAAACACTTGCTCTATTATTATTATTATTATTATTATTATTATTATTATTATTATTATTATTACTTGATAAAATGCATTTAATATCAAGAGAATCAAATAATTTGAACAATTTACGTTCATATACACAAAAGCTTCTATTAACCATTCTAAATACTTGAAATCTCTAAATCTGAATTAGCAAATTTGTATTTTCAATTTGAGATGACTTCAATCAAGGGAAGGGAAGAGAAGAGAAGAGAAGCTCGCACGCTGTTTCAGAATTTCTTGTCTTCAGCTCAAATCCTTTCTGCAACATGGCTTCACACTGCAGCACTCTTTTCCCTTCACATAAAAGTGGACAGTCCCATCTTTCACATGCCTCTGAGCTAAGCCGGTTCTCGCTCCCGACGACCACGATGATGCATACAGCGATTCCGAGGCTTCGACCGAGAACCCGTTTTCGCTAAGGTCCAAAACTTGCAAATGGTTCGCCATGGCGAGAGCAGTGGAGAGTTCTTTGATGAAGTGATCCTTTGATGAAACTTGTATTCCAGCTTGCTCGTCTTCGCTATCCGCAACTTCGAGATCCTCGCATTGGATTCCGGTTTTACATAGATCTTGCTCGTTGTTGAGGTATGGATTTAGGGTTTCGTTTTCAACTCTCTCGGCTTCCCCCCTCTTGGATGCAGGTTCACAAGTTCCGTGTTTTGTCTGAGCCTTTTCCGAGCTTTCTTTCACTAATTGGTCATATGGGAACGTGCGAGTCTCGTCCATTTCACCATTCTCGGCGAGGTTAAGCTCTTCCAGAGTTTTATTATCTGCTGAACAAGTAAAAAATGGCTTAGCAGGACAGAGATATTAGAGTATATATATCAATATTATTAGTATCATTATAACCTCTCCATACCTCTATAATCTCTCTAGTCTCTCACTATCCTGTAATATCTCTCTTTTCTTAGTTTCAAGATCTCCTTTCGTGTGTGTGTATGCATATATATACTAGTATCTTATATAAGTTTCAACTACAATTTTCCACAACTTTTTGAATTCTATTAAGAGATTGGTTTCATAGCAAGTGTAATAAACGACCTGCAAAAGATTTAAAAAGGACGTAATTTCAGACCTGAGAGCGCTTGAATTATTCGCAGAATTCCAGGGAGCCGAAGTCGACACTTGTTAAGGATCAAAGATTTTAAGCTGCATTGAGGATTTTTAAGCAGCATTGCCAGTGCACCGACCCCCTGTTTTCATAGCAAGAAAAATCATGTTCGAGAAAAAAACACGGATTTGATGAAGATATCCATGCCAAGTATAAACCGAATAAACGTGAAATTAACTCGTAAGACACTAATCATTTCGGGATCTCTGATATGAATGATATAATGACATGGTAATTTGATTTCAAGATTCTTAATAGTGGTATTATTGCTTGAAGATACCTCTTCAGTAACAGAATTTCCTCCAACGTTAAGCTCGAGAATGCTAGAAGCTAGAGTACTATCGCTGCAGAGTTTATGATAGAAAGCAGAAGCTATTCCACAGCCTGAGAGGTCAAGCTTTACAGTTTCTTCCTTCTGATAACATAATGATTCAGTGACTTTTATAGCTCCTTCCTGTAATAACGAAAACTATATCAAGTGAGAACCAATGCCGAGAATTTTTAGCAAGATAACAAAATCTATCAACAAACTGTTCTGCATATAATAAGAAATTCCTCTCACTGTTCCTATTCCGCTGCCTCCTAGCAAAAGCTGTGACAAAGATGGGGTCTTAGCCACTCTGGAGAGGATATCGACAACTTGGTTGCTCAGCTTCACACCATTCAAACTTAACTCTGTGAAGCTACATTAAAGAAAACATTTGACAGCATTACAGTATATCTATAGGCTATAGCTGGACCCCTTCACAAAATTGGAACAGGTGAAACGAAACTGCTTGATGTTTTAGCTCGAACCTGCTCAGAGTAGCCAGTTTGGCCAAGAGGCTGTGGATGGCATTCCCTGATATCGGATTATTGTATCCTGCCATACAAACCCGATACAGCATCTTTAGCATAGAGCAAAGAAACAAGTTAAACCTTAAAAACAACAATCTATATTGGAAAAATTTGTAATGCATACCAATGTAGAGCTGTGATAGTCCTGATTCAGAATCCAATGCATTGGCAATCTTTATGATCGTTCTAGATGTGAGTGAACAATATTCTACATTCAAGCTGTAAAGTGCTAAAAAGGAGAAAACAAGAAAGGAAATTAAAACAAGAGCAAGAAGAAGTAATGACTATCAATCTATCCTAGGGCATCTCATACATCTTTTAGGTTCGTACTTTATCAGTGAAAACACAGAAACAATATATATCACCAGATGAATTAGGCCACAACAGATGACAGTCAAATGAAGAAAGAACAATTTTACCCTTGCAACTTTTCAAGATGGTTGAAAGGTATGAACCACATGCATCAGTAAGTCGATTTCTGGATATATTGAGGACTTCCAACCGAGTGAATAGGACAGGACATTCACAGATCTGGTTAACAATAGTAAGATTAAACAACAAGAAAACGTGAAAAATGTGAAACTTTCTAGTTGTAGAGCTAATAGCCCACCTGAAACAAAGCTGTTGGACCGAACCGATTGCTGTGCAAATCCAAAGCCAAAGCACCATATCTCTGGGTTGATGAGGAAAAATGTTGCTTCAGTTTCTCCATTGATCCATTCCCTAAAATCAAAGACAGAATGGAAAATAAGCATTCCAGATTTTAAAGCAATTCTCCATCATATTATCACCTGACTTAAGTTAGCAGAAGAAACAAACTAATAAAAGTTTTTTTTTTTTATATCTTATTAACATGTACTTTATACAAAAGTAGAGACAAACCTAACATATTGTGAGAAAGATCCAGCATAGCAACTGAGTTGTGGACATGGAGGGAACGCAATAACGGAGCAGCTGATATATCTTGCAGCTCGCATTCAGACACATTGACTTCATCTTCAACCTAACAATCGTACAGGCAGAAGATAAACATAGCTCAGATTCCAAACTGTTATAGTAGCGAGATTCCAACCGTTTATGAGGCAGATGAAGAGAGACAAGTTTCATTCACTAACTGGTGAACTCAGATGGTCTGGTACATGTTCTCACCTCCGAGATATATAGTTTCTTAAGCAATTTCATATTGGGTGTCTCTGACAACTCTTGGCAACAATCCATGTATAGTTTCATGAGGCGCTTGTGAACCCAGCCTGCAACGTATAAATTAGTAAACTTATAAGACATCAACAACGCTGCAAGGATGATTAAAGGACCATTCTGGAGGACAGTAAGAATTTGATGCCTACCGCCAATAAAAGCTTCAATCACAACACTTCCAGCCGAACCGGTAAGAGTCTCACATAACTCAAAAGATCCTACAGTTCTTCCACCACATTCAATGTCTTGAATGATTGGCAACAGACCTGATGATATCCGAATTGCATGTTGAAGATTCACACCAATTACCAGGGCCATATAAATCTCTCTCACAAGATACCTATGCAGCTGTTCAATTTTGGTTTCTAAAAAAGTAAAGATTTTTAAGCAGGAAACTGAGATTTGTAGAGATGGATGGCGTTAAATCATGAGCCAAAATGATTCATCAATTCCTTCATTTGGTGTTATTGACTGAGAAAAGAAAAGAGTTTATACCTTTGGTTTTCTCTTCTTCAGAAAGCTGTAGATAGTACAAGCAAGCAAGTTCCACCTTCAAAGACTCTGTGTATAACTTGTCATTGACAAAACATGAACCTAATATCTGTTGGCAGCCATTCTCGAATCTGAATATTATTTTTTGCTGCAACCAACAAAAATTTGGTTATATCATGGAGCATGCAAGTAGTAGAAAAAAAGAGATATAGCTAAATGGATCACATGGTCATGATGATGAAGAAACCAGGATGCTTACATCATCTGCTTTGCAATAACAATGGAAGTTCAACAGAGAAGCTCCATATTTATGTTGCATTCCCTTAGAATCCCCATTATCATATTGAGATCCTCTAGTGACACGGTCAGGTGTACTGACAACTTTACTGTTATTCAAAGATTTATAACTGTTTCCACTTGAAGCAACCTCAGCGGGATTCAGAGGCTTATACGAGCATGAACTTTCTTCAACATTATTTTGAGGATCTGCACACTTATCCTTACAGTTAACTGCATCATTTAAAGCATCGTCTAAGCTATAAAGACTTGACAGAATATACTGTCAGGGAAATCCGTATTTGCAAAAATACACACACCTCTTCCAGAAGCCTCAGCATTCTGCCTAGGAAATTTGAGACAACTGTTTTTTGGTGTTCCCAGCTCAAACTCAGTTTCACTTTCATCATCTGAGATGATTAATCGGATGCGCTTCCGTCCAACGACTGTCTGTTGACTGCCTCTCTTTTCAGAGAACTCCTTTGGAGAAGCAGCCTTGGTCTGCTCAATATCATGCTTTACTGTGTTATCAGTTTTCCGTTTGGACAAACGTCTCCTAGGCTGGATAAATGAAATCAGTGGTGCATCATCGTTTTCGTCATCAAAATCTGCTAATGGTTTTGATCTTTGTGAATTTGATGTTTGGACTTCTGGCGAGTTATTTGCATTATGCCTGTCATTTGACAAGTTCTCTTTAGCTATTTGCACTTGTAGATTTCACAATATGGTAGCTTCTAAACTACAAAATGGTAATGGAGTGTATGTTTTGAAATGCATGGAGTGTTTAAGCAATGAAACTCACCTTCAACCACGCTGATATCATGCGAGATTTCTCAATAAGACAATCAAGACAAGCATTAACCTGGAGCATACGATTCCGTTCTTCTGAGGTACCTTTAGCATCATTCATTTCTAGTGACAACTTCTTAAACTTAAGCTCCCCTTCTCCCAATTCTTCCATTACCTTCTTGGCTTGTTTGACTGTATTAATATTTTGCTCAATCTGTTCAACCAATGCACTCTCGTCCTCCATGGATTTGGCTAGACTAAGAGCTTTACCATAACACGACAGTGCATCTTCATACTTCTGAACCCTGTTGTGCAGTTCCCCAAGATTGATATACCCCTTGGCTTCACCTTGGCGGTGACAAATTTTACAGCAAATTTTGATATCCATCTCGATGTGCTCCTTTGCTTTATCCCACTTTCTCAACTCCATGTAAACATTTCCAAGGTTATGGTGAAGCCTACTGCGCCCCGCATGATCCTCGCTCACCTCCTCCTCATCGCAAATCTTCAGCCCTTTTGTGAGTATTTTCCCTTCTGACTCGGTCTCGGGGCATCCATCTTCTGCCCCATGTTCCATCATCTCTATTGACTGCTTAAGATTTTCAATTTCGACCTTCAACTTCCTATATAATAAATTATATATATCTATGAGAAACAAAATATTTGTATATGAAAGCCAGTAGTAAAATAGGATGTTAATCAAGTTTGTTGTTAATCATATATGAAAGTGAGTAGAAAAATATTTGTATATGATACCTCGCTTGCTCAGCATTTTCAAGTCTGATCAAATGGCTGTAATGCATATTTTCCAGAGCAGAAAGCTGTACTCTAGGAAGATTGGCTTCTAAAGCAATTCTGCAAGATTACACAAGAATACCACATCAAATAAGATGTATCAATCAAAGACCACCAGTTCAATCCACTACAAGTAGAGATATTACGTATTTAAGTATCTATAAAACCAACATCACAACAAAATTTTGAAAATCAAAAACAAGTTCTGGTGATACGAATTCTACCCTTAGCAAGATGTTTAAAAAATCAAGGACTTCGGATGCTAATAGCCACAATGCCACATAAAGCTTCAACTAAGAACTCCACTTCCCCAGAATTTAGAGGTAGAAATTTGGTTCGTCCAAGTTAGACAAATCAACTAAAATTTAAAAATTGGACACGATTTCCCAATGACAAGTCCTCGTCTAAATGCAGGCTTTATTTGTACATTAGCCCTAGAGCAATAATTGTTTAACTGACTGCAGAAAGCGTCAAAAATAAGCAGCCCGTAGCACCACGTGTAATGCAATAGAGAACAATAAACTATTGGACAACGTCGGTTTGATATCTGAATTGGAATTTCACATAGTGTCATGTTATGGTACCACATTGAACTGATGTACTCATCAAACCTTTCAAGGATGATTAGTATTTTATATATGTTCTGTTTGGAATAAAATCCCAGACAAAAATACAGTTCTTGAGCATAATTGAATAAAAGACTCTCATGCACTGATCACAAGTGAAATATATCTACCTGTACCCCTCTTCAACTGCTTGGAGCGCTCCATTATATTCGCCAATACAGTCTAAAGTGTCACCGATACTAATTTTCGCTAGTGCCTGACCCTGCAAACCAATCAGCACAAGTGAAAAGCTAGAATGAAGGAAAGGTAAACACCACATAGATAATCCTCGCATCATAAAAGAATTCTCTTGCCCCATAAAAACCCGTTTAATAATGGGAGTCACTACAGATTTCTGGTTTTATGAAACTTCTAACGAAAATTGCGAAACATAGGTTGTAATAATAAGAAGCGCAAGCAAACCGATCTTACCTCCAGATTACCAATTGACTTGTGGCCCTCCCAACCCTTGGTGTACCATTTGAGCGCCTTTCTGAAATTTCTGAGCTTTTCGTATGACTCTCCGACATCCAAGAAAGCATCACTCAATTTTTCCTTGTCACAGAGTTCATTTGATATTCTCTTCTTTTTTTTTGAAAATTCAAGATGCTAAACATTCAAAGAAGAAACAAAACCTCCTGAGTTGCATATAAGCATTAATAGCACTTTCTTGCATAGCTTCTAAAATAACATGATGGACAATTTAAATGCAGAAAGGATAAACTAGAAACTGCAACGCACACAGGGTACCAATTTGATCAGTCTATCTCTTGCAAATATTAGAACTCAGCTAGTCAGCTTTTACATCAACTGTACAAGTTTCAAATGTTTGTTATTCAGAGAGCTTAAATACGGAAAAATCTCTTGATTGCTTTAATCCGTCTCCTAACCAATATCAAATGACAGAGCACAAAACTTGGATCAACAGAAAGTAATACATTGATGGCTACCAATTCTATACTAATGAGTAATGACCGTTGGAAATAGAGAGCATAAAACTGGTTACACAGCTATTTGCACTTGTAGATTTCACAATATGGTAGCTTCTAAACTACAAAATGGTAATGGAGTGTATGTTTTGAAATGCATGGAGTGTTTAAGCAATGAAACTCACCTTCAACCACGCTGATATCATGCGAGATTTCTCAATAAGACAATCAAGACAAGCATTAACCTGGAGCATACGATTCCGTTCTTCTGAGGTACCTTTAGCATCATTCATTTCTAGTGACAACTTCTTAAACTTAAGCTCCCCTTCTCCCAATTCTTCCATTACCTTCTTGGCTTGTTTGACTGTATTAATATTTTGCTCAATCTGTTCAACCAATGCACTCTCGTCCTCCATGGATTTGGCTAGACTAAGAGCTTTACCATAACACGACAGTGCATCTTCATACTTCTGAACCCTGTTGTGCAGTTCCCCAAGATTGATATACCCCTTGGCTTCACCTTGGCGGTGACAAATTTTACAGCAAATTTTGATATCCATCTCGATGTGCTCCTTTGCTTTATCCCACTTTCTCAACTCCATGTAAACATTTCCAAGGTTATGGTGAAGCCTACTGCGCCCCGCATGATCCTCGCTCACCTCCTCCTCATCGCAAATCTTCAGCCCTTTTGTGAGTATTGCATGTGCCGCTTCCAAATTTTCAAGATCCAACTCCATCATTCCTATGTTATTGTGTGCGTCGATGAATTCTTCGAGAAAAGATGATCCACCAGCAGGCGGATTCTCCTTGAGGATCTGTGCAAGTCTCATGGCCGTCTTAAAATACTTTTTTGCATTTTGAATGGCATCATCATCGTCATCGGATTTTATAAATATTCCGTGGTACGTACGTCCAAGCTGGGTACATGCTCGTTGCTCCTCTGCAGTATCATTAGCATCCTCAGCGAGCTGTAGATGCTTTTTCTGCAACAACCCAAAAAGGAAAACGAAATGAACATTCGCTCGAGTAAGAAATCATTGTCATTGTGACATAATGTCAATACCCAGCCAATTCCGTAACATTCGAACCTAACCTAGCTTCCCCGTAACTCAAACTTCATTTCCACAGACACTGTTATCTCGTGGCATTACCAAATCCCATAATCTCAAATCATCCGGTGGGACAATAAAGCCAATAACAAGTTGAGGAATCTACAATCTCTGAGAAGAAATAGAGAATCGGAGAAGTTGATTTACCTGATAAACCAATGCTTGCTTGAAATCGCCGAGAAGGAAATAGACCTCGCCGAGAGACTGACAAGTCGGAAGCACATCTTTCTCAGGCAAGTGCTTCACAGAGACCTCGTAATCAATCCGAAGCCATTTGAGAGCCTCGACGTACTCGCCGCGGTTCTTCAGGATATCTCCGATCACATTTGCCCACCGCGCTTCTTCCCGCCGGTTCCCGATCTCCTTAGCACTCCGGTATGCCCGCTTCGCCGCACTTAGCTGTATCTCCGGCCGAGCCATCGATGGCAATCGGATTTGGGGGAAATCAGAGGTGGTGTTTCGGACACGATCCGATTTTGATCCGCGAGTTGAAAGGGTTTTGGTCTCCGTCGACTACAGAATCAGAAGGGTTTCTAGATTTTGATTTTTGTCCTATTTGTTTTTCCCCTTCAAATACCAAATTTTCGTGCCACGAAATTAATCCCGCCAAAACTCCAAAAGGCGAACTAAAAACCTGAAATTACAAAGAAGCCCCATAGTTTTTCACTTCTTCGGTTTTGGCCCACATATATTGGGTTGTGTTTGTATCTGTTTTGGACCAATTACGAAATGATTTCGTGTATTTCTTCACCATCGTTGTTTTGTTATCCGTTTTTTTTTTTTTGAATAAATATTTTGTATCAATTATGACTATTTTTTGCTATAATAACGTTTTTTTTCTCGTCCAATAATTGTTTTTTTTGGGGTGAGATCCTCTATTTTCTCTTATTTTTGCTTAATCCGGAACCCTAGAGGTTTTTTCCTTGTCAGTTAGAAATTTTAATTTATATACAACCAAAGATCCTATCAATTTTTTATGCTTTGGTTTTTTTCAAGTCGTTTTTGTCTCATCCATCCAGTTTGAATGGAAGAGGTTTTTACTTTTTAGGCTTTTAAAATCTAAAAACCAAAAACAAAATTGATAATTAAAATTTGGCCAAATTGAAAAATCATTTTAATAAAAATAATTAACTAAAAACTAAAAACTCTACAAATAACACAAAAACCAAAAACCAAAAAATAAAAACTCACTGAAAATTTGTCTTTGTCTTCATCTAATTAATTCAATCCATTTGTAGTAATTAAGGAGCCAACAATGTCTTTCACCTCGTTATCTGAGTTGCCGAGATTTTTAATATGGTTCTCAACAATATTTCATACAACTCCTGTCTGAAGGTGGGTTATGAGCCTAGAAGAGCCTTCTTCTTCTTCTTCTTAAAGGGACTCTCACTTTAGCTACTCAACCTGTTGTTGCATCTTCTTCTTCTGAAGCAGCCTTCTCTTAGTCTCCGACATCGCCTCTTCTCTTCTCCTCGTTACCTCCTCCATCTCCTCCCTGTACCGTATCTCGATCTTCTCCATTTCCTGCCTGAACTCCTCTTCTTCCTCTAAGCTCCTCGATTCCGAACATGAATCACGGGACGATCTCTTCGATCCTTTCCCTTCGTCGGATGACGCAGGTGCGTCTAGTCCATGTTCCTCTATCATGTCCGAGGATCGGCAAACGTTCTCGTCCGGTTTCTGGGTCTGAGAACCGTTCTGATGGGCTCTCGAGTCGTGATTCGGGTTCGAAGGAACCAGATGGTCGATCGGGACATCGGTTTTCCAACCGGATATTAAGTTGACGAGCAATATATCAATCAGCTCGGCTATGAACGTCACGTTCTGGTCGGTGAGTTCGAGCTGCTCGACCATCTCGCTCGACACTTTCGAGGCGGTGTCACCGTCCCGGTAGAACATGAAATGTATGTTCCTCACCCGTCCTGCGTAACAAATAATACCTCAAATCGACACGTAAATACAGCAAATCAAATGTATGTGCATATTTCATCCTCACCGGTCTCGTCCACTATACGAAGAATCAGCGATACGGAGTGCTCGTCGTTTTCTTCGCCCTTAAGGACGAAAAAATTTCCGCGCTTCGCCCGTCTAACTTCAACACACCTGGATCCTGAATTGTCACTTGAATTAACAATCGGAAGGTTACTGTCATCGTCCAGATCTATAGAAGACGGTCGGTTTCTCGCCGAAGGAGGTCCTTCCGACATAAGACAACGATCTCCAAATGCTCCTTCTTTGGGCATTACGATGTCGGGAAGTGGCAAAGGGCTATTCATTGTTAAACCGCTGACATGAAGAAAGGGATCCATCAGAAGCTCCTTAGCCGATGATCTCTCCGATGCAGGCAGTAAGCATTTCTCGATAAACTTCTTAACTATTGGATCTTTGATCTTAGTGAGGGAAGCCGGTTTTATCCCCTAAAGCCAAAAATTAGAGAGAGAAAAAACAGTCGATTAATATTGACGATTGACGATAACCATCTAGAGATTACGGAAACGTCTTTTTTTTGGCTACGTACCGATGAAACTTTCTTGTAAATCTGAGCAGAGTTTCTGCATTCACAGTAAGGGTACTCGAAGGTCACCATCTCCAACATGCACATCCCAAACGAATAAATATCCGCGAGCTCATTGTAGTTCTCGTCATAAAGCTCGGGAGCCATAAACTCCGGGGTTCCTGTCAGTACCATATTACCACCTCAATATGACTGAAAGAGAAAAGATGGATTACAAAATGAAAAAAACACAGAGCGAGAATCCGAATAAATTTCCTTGGTGAAAACATAAAACCACATTACCAATTACGCTTTTAACAGTAGGTTGCTCCATTACAGTGGCTAAACCGAGATCTCCAATTTTTACTTCACCATGGTTACCGTTGATGAAAATATTATCGCATTTGAGATCCCGGTGTATAATCGGCGGTTCTTGACTATGAAGATATTTCAAACCCATTAACACCTGTCTCGCCCAACACTTCACGGCCTTCATATTCACCTTTTTGTGTTTCTTACGATACCTAAAACCAAAAGACTCATTAAACTCCAGGGCACTAATATACATATCGGGAACATAAGATAGATAAAAGCAGTGAAGAGAGATACATACTGACGGAGGCTACCCGAAGTGAACAACTCGGTTATTATATTAACGGTCTTGTTCTTATCATCGATCCACGAATTATAGAACCTTATAATATTATTGTGCTTCAACGATTTCAAAAGGCGCACTTCGGAGTATAGCCTCTCTAGGTCATCCGGCGACTGCAAAACATCGTCAATACGTACTTGGTTCCACGCTACTTCAATGCCATCCACTTCATCAAATGCCTTATAACTAATAAATCGAGTTTAAGGAATCTGCAGCTTACAAACCGAGAAAGACGCAGCACATAAAACAAACAGATTCATGAGATAGGGAAAGCTACAAATGGGCAGTGATGAAAAGGATACACTGTCTTGAATGCGCCTTTTCCGATTACCTCTTTGTACTGAAAACAATCCAGACATGTCAATGGTGTCAGGGTTTTGTAAAATCTTGTCGGACAGACCACGAACAACTAGAATCCCAGCAAAATCTTAAATCTAGATCATCATATATACTTCATGTTCACATAAACCTCAAGAAAATTACCCCCTCGAACCTATTATTCTACAACGTCCAACGTTAAAGATAAATGTCTGATTGGTATTAGCAAGCCAATGAAAGATATAATCTATTCTCTTGTTGTATTTCCTTATTGCATCAAACTAAAAGACGGTAAAATAACGAGATATCACAAATTACCCGTATATATCGAGAAGTTGGGTCGATTTCAAGAATCTCGGGGTCGGGAGGCTCTTGAAGTGCAGAAGAATCATCTGAACCATCCATATTTTTACTATCTTCGACAAGTAAACACCTTCAACTTCACACAGAAAACAGCAACAAAGAACACAGAATCTTGAAGCCATGAGGGAAAGAAGGAACAGAATCTTACAGTGTACTTGGATACTATTTTGCAGCTGCACCTTGTAATGAAAGAAACTTAGACAGAACAGATCATTCCGACCAAAACCCGGCTTAAAATCGTAATTCAATCCGAAATTTCCAAAACCCTAACCTTGAATTTCATCAATCAGCTTACAGAAGCGGATATCCGATTGAATCTTCTTCACAAAATTATACCAACCCCATTCATATTTCTTGAAATCAATCCAGCAAAAATTGCATTAGCTTGACATGAACAATATCGAATCGCAGGTCCAGATCATCGAACCAATCTCATGAAAATAAATTTGAAGTTAAAAGCAGACACATTCGCATTCCACAGTAGACAGCTCCAAGTAATTCCCATGAACAAATTAGCGAATAAAAGCAGAGAGGATGAAAAAACAGATGTCAAACATGAACACGAATAAAATTTATCAAACATACACGCATATTCACGTACATGCATTACGTACAGATACACGCAGAAACATGCGGAAACATCAAAAAACTGTTTCAGAACGATCAAAAGGGTGAAGAATCGAGCTAATTTGATATGATTGGGAGCTCCAAATTCTACCTGGGCCTTGTTCTGGTTTCTCCGCCTACGTGAGAGCTGGAAAGGTAGAAACAACAATGGGGAAAAAAGATCTGAAACCCTAATTTCTGAAAAATTCGAGCGATCAGAGGGACGGGGGGGAAATCGAACAAGTGTCCTTCGGGCGAATCACGAATCGCCACCTCCAGATTCACTCGAATCGGGAATACATTACATATAAGCGTGTGTATATAACTGATTAAGGAATCCAAACCCATCTAAAAACAGGAAACGAACCCGCCATGTTCATATTCATCGTCACCCGCATCCGCATGCAGTGTTTTTTTTTGTTGTTGTTAAATCAGTGATTTTTTTTTTTATTTTCTCTTTTTTTTTTGCCTCTTTGATCGTTTAATAATTAATATTAATACGTTTTGGTTCGTAGCGTATCTCGTAGAATCATCATACACGTGGTTTTATTTGTGGCTTGACCTGTTTATTGATGACGTGGACATATCTAGTTGTATATTATTCGTGTTATTGTCTCTCATCGTCCTCAACGTTGCTCCCAAAAAAAAAGCTATTTAAATATTCTAACGGATTCCATCGTTTTTTGGTTGACTTTCTGGATTTTTTAAGAAAATTATAGTTACTCAATTATTATATTAGATTTAATTCAAATTGAATTGTTATTGTGGTCATATGATTTTTAAATTATTTCATATTCGACTTTGTGACAGACGTTTCGAAAAATCGAAAAATACGGTATTTTTCGATCCGAACCATTCAAAATTCTCAAATAGTATTATTTTTAAAAAACGAATTTTTTGAAAACGAAACAAATCGATTTTTAAAAAAATCCAAAAAACAAAATTTTGTAAGAAAAACTAATTTTTTTTAATAAAAACCGAAATCGAACAAAAAGAAAACCAAACCGAATATAATATAATAAGCGATTAGTATCTCTATTTTTTGTAAAACCTCCCAAAACGTCGTCCCCCTGACGGCGCTGATCCAAGAAAGAAGACCGTAAGAGAAAGAACCCTTGCAATCGATACAAAGCCAGAATTAGGGATGGTCATTATCTTAAATGGCGCTGATCCAAAACGCGGACCTCTAAACTAGAAATGAAGCCGTGGATGCCACAGCAAAGAGCGTGAGTTTAGGGTCCATCTCGTACTCCCAATGTAATTTTCATACATAAAACTGGTTTCTTTTCAGACAAAACAAAACATTCTCTTTTTGTCACTTCTACGCTGAACAAAGAGAAGAAACATGTTGGTAGGTAATTATCTCTCAACTCCTCAATCTCAAGCCATACAATTAATCACAAACATGATGTACAGAGAGCATCACAGATTCACATATGACCAAAGATGTACTCTCATCTCATATATATATATATGTATATGTATATATGTTCATGAACTGTGATAGGAGAAAGAGGGTACCTCGTTTTAGAGTCCAATACGGTTTAGATGTTTCCTAATTGCAAAAGGGGCAAATCGGCATCACATCTTGCCATGGCGTAGACTGATGAATCTTTGCGTTTTGTTGATTAGGTAGGTTTTGATGCTTTGGATAGAGCTTCGAAAACGCTTTGCAGAGCCATATTCTCGACGATGACAACTTTATCTCGTGATTTAGACCCTGAACCGATCGAGACTTGCCTTCTTTTCACCCCCAAGACCTGTTTCACAAACATCTAAACAATCAGGAAGACATAAACTAGCTTAAGCTCTTACACTGAACAATGAAGGAAAATCTCGCTTAGCAAAGATCGAACGAGAATTTCCTTCTCAATCTAGAATGATAGGACACCAAAAACACTTCAAATTGAAGTCCTGCTCCATCAAATATTCACTCTGGTTTTGTTCTCTACTGCCCCTTTACCCAAACCTCGTATCCTCCTCCACCGTAAATTCAACTGCTTTTAGTAGTGAAAACTAATGTAGGCAAGTGTTATTGTTGGAGATCAATTCTCGTCATCCTTATCGTGGAATTCATAGCCCATAACTTCGCTTCATACGTAGAGCACAGTCACCGTGTCAGATTTGATGTGCATTCTTTCGACCAGATTTAGCAGACTACAAGCTCATATCCTATAGATGGAAAGGTCTCGATCCCGCAGGCAATATCTGGCTCATACCGGGAACCCGTGTTAAGCACCGAAGAATCGAGAACCACATTTCCCAGGTGCAATGATCAAATTATCAGATGAAGCATAACTAAAGCCTTTAAATAGCTCCATACAGATTTTGAATTTTGCACATTCAGATCAAGTATGATCAAATCATGGATTTATCATAAAAAGACCAAAACACCATGACTTCAAAGCACCTGGGTGTTCATAATTAACAAACAGATTACAAAAAGTGAATGAGATCTATGATTCATCCATAAAACTACAGCATACCCAATTCAGCTCAATCTCAGGACTGTAACATGGCAGTAGTGTGAAAAAGATTCCTCAGAAGTCCAGTAATGGAAGAAAACATTTCATGCTTGAGATTGGATAAGCACTTACAGAGCTCATGAAATCAACAAGCGCAGCGTTGGCTTCACCGTCCCTCGCGGGCGCGTCGATTTGGACTCCGACCGCCTCCTCGCTCACATCTCAGATCAAACAGAGAACTGATTCAGTAATCAAAACCCATAAAAAGAAGAAGGAAAAAGCTGCCGAATAGCGATATATACAGAGACGAGCTGTAACTATATGCGCTTAGATACCAGTGATGGAGGCGGATTTCGATCCTGGTTTTGCGTGGATGGTGATGGCGACGGAGGAAGGGGGAAAGTGGCGTATACATGACGGAAAACTTGAGGAATCGGCGGCGGAAGTCGCCGGAGAGGACGCAACGGAGTTGGCCTTTAGTTTTCCCTTCTTCGGCGGAGCCATTTTTCCCGACGACGGACTCTTAACAGATCGGCGATATTCGGGGTTTATATGTAAGGGGATACTTCGGCGGACCCCACACTTGCATTCACCCTTTTATTTCCGTTAATTTACTTACTAAACAATTAATTTTTGTAATTAGAAAATGATTAAATTTTGTATATATTTGAGACCTAAAATTCCGTAATATGATTTATAATGATTTACAGGGGTGGGCATCCTGAATTGAAACGTATTATAGTTAAAAATAATCGATTTGATTAAAATTAAATAATTGTTTGGATATAAATTTTCAAAATTTGAAATAACCGAATTAGAATTCGTAATTATACAACCTAGACATAACCGTTCATCTGCCAATATATAAACGATTAATACACAATATAGGCAGTAGAAAAATTAGTATAATGGTGTTATTAAATTGATTTCTTAAACTATGATATACAACTAAAATGAGACATTTAACATTTTTCTAAAACAATGTTTGGAAATTCGTTTCATTTACTATTATAACCGAATAATCGAACCAAATGTATATATATATTGTGTATATATAAGTATATACATGTGCATAAATATTAATGTATACCTGTCTATTTATGTGAATATGTGTATATGTATATACATATGCCAATAAAAAGAAAAGGTTCAGATGTGCATTTCAAAGACCGAGTACGGCTCAAGTCAAGGCATGTGTGTCCACGAGGAATGTTTCAGTCATTGTTATACATCTCATTTTTTTCCCCACAAGCCAAAAAGTCTGCAACCAAAACCACATCTGCAGCAAAGGAACAGTAACTTCAAGATGTAACCATTGGGTCCGAACCCGAAGAGTCGTTGCCGGATCTGTTGGACTGACGAACCGAGTTAAACAAAATGTCTTTGATGACCTACGGAAAAACAATGTAGCTCGATGAATGGCAACGGAAGAGGAAAGAATAAAATCATCAAGGAAGATAGCATCTTTGTTTTTTTACCTGCGACATTAGCCCATGGACCTGCTCAACGGTTATCTTTGCGCTATCCCGAGTTATCTTAGCGAGCTGAGGTTCATCCTGTAAGTGATCCATGACAACGCCAACACACACAACTAATGAGGCTTTGAAATCCCTTAACATAAGCATAAAAGAACAGAACCCGCCTCACAAGAGAAAAAACAACTTGCAAAAACATAAGAGTGGCTATTGTTTCGTGGGTTGAAAAGACGCTATATGATCAAGTCTTCGACCGACTCGTTGTCGTTTACAAATTACATCAAACAAACACCTGGGTTGTGAAAAGGAACAACCAGAAAAGATGGACTGTGAAAGCTAGGTTTCCCTCTTAGTTTAATGCTCTAGCAATATACTGCATGAGAAGGTAGATAGACATTGATGCCCTAACTTAGGCAGACAGTGTTGAAGTCATAAATAAGAGAAAACTCGAAAAGTGGCATGTGGAAAGGCTGAAAAAATCATGGGGCAGCACCGAAACCAACCGAGAAAAGTTGACAACATGTTAAACTATCTGGAATAAACCACTGTTTGCCGGACAAACCTCTTTTTTCTTCTGAAGCGTTGCTGGAACAATCCCTCCAATGCGGGAGTGAGCCAGCTGGTTCTCAGCCTGCTCAAGCTTCTCAGCTAGATTACATTGATAAAGAAGAACAATTAAATTTTGTAAATAAAAAAAAGGTTAGATGACTAATCATGCACATCGTGAGGCAAAAAACTAATTTAAACACAACTAATCGAAGAATTTCTTTTACCCAAGTCAGATATCTGTCCAGCAACATAGTCTCCATTGCCCAGAAGAGGGGAAGATGAAAGGGTGTTCACCCAGTACTTGTTCCATAAGAGATCCAAAAGATGACTATCCAGAGATGACTTGAAGTAAGTGATATCTAATGCATAGTACTGCCATTTCAAATGGAAACATCAGCCTAAGGACATAGGGTAAAAGCCAAATCAAGAGGTGATGATATAAGTACCTGTTTGCAGTGTACACCAAAGTCCTCAATCTTATTCAGAGGTATTGTCTGATACTCAGAGACCGGTTCATCTGGAGGCTTATACCCCTCCGGATATGTTCTGAACGCCCCGATCTCAACCTTTCCAGCTGAAACAGTCCTTGTTGGATCGATAACAACAGCTAAGAAGGGCTCCTGAAACTGTTGATTCAGCATCTGTGTCGAAACATCAATGCCCGATAGCCAGCATCCATATCCAGGGTGAGAATGATACCATCCAACAACATTCTCCAATCGCCCGGCCTAAACCAAAAGTTAGTGATAGTTACTGTTACTGAAGCTGCTTTATTTGATTGTAGGGAACCTGAAATTGACAACTCTACATGAAAAAGAAACCGAGACTTGAAGCTTCTGCAGGATGCATTCTACGAGAAGGATATGCGAACTACCCTACATGAGAAATCTGCCTGCCCTAAACCCAACAACGAGCTACAATACAATAGTCCAAAACCACAAGGATCCTGCAAAAAATCTCCTAACCCTACATTATAGTTGAGAAACTTGTCATCTGGGTTCATACCACATTTGCAAACTAGAGGAGCTATTGATTATATTCCGAGGAAGGATTTGCATTGAGAGCAAACAATATGCCATTTATTCGCAGCAAACAATCAACTGAGAAGATAGGAGAGGTATAATACGGAAATCTTTACCAGCTTGTTGGTCTGTGAGTACTCAACCATATACTCGTACGCATCAGCCTGAGCATTAACCCTAGTTTCAGTTCCTTCGACAGGCAAAGCGAAGGCATCCATGACAATGATGGAATCTCCATCAGTCTTCCCTTGCATCAGACCCATGACTTCGATGGTTCCACCGGAGCGCGCGTGAACCACCATCTTCAGGAGCGCGAGTGCTGAGATCTTCACGCGCTTGAAATAATGAGGATCATTCGCCCATGGCTTCTCCTGTTGAAATTTGGCCTGAGCAACATCGTCATAGTAAAAGATACCGTCGGAAGCGGGATCCGGTGTCGGCTCCATTGTTAGTATGTTGTTCTCGAGCTCCCACGTCTTCCGGGCGATTTCCGACGAACCCTCCATTCGCGATTCTGATCAAGTTTTACGCAAACAGAGAATTGATTGCAACGAACCTAGGGTTTGCTGAATCTGGCAGAAAATGACCAATCACGACACAATCCGATCAGTCGCGAAGGGTTTTAAAAGCGGAATCGAGCGACGATGGGGGACGAAGTAAGGCACAAAACGACGACGTTGCTTTTCCTTTTTGAGAACGATGCCGTTTCATTATTTCCTTCCGATTGTCCAAAATCCAAATACTATTAAACTTTAATCTATAAATAATTTCAAACTTCACAACAAATATATACAAAAAGTTTAAATATTTTAGCCCATATGTCTATGTGTATATATTTTTATATTAAATACGACCGCCCACGATAAATTAAATGTATTGTGCCAAAATGCTTCAATTTTGAATGAATATATTGGAATTGGTCGAAATGTTATAACAATAACATCATCGTGGGTGTTCTTCAACGCATGAAACTTTATATATATGTATGTTACGTGTATATATATATACACACGTGTATGTACACAGTTTCAACCAAAATATGATCACATGATGAAAAGGAAATATGCACAATCTCTTGGCAAATATAAACATAAATGTGAGCATGGAGGAAAATGTTATCCTCTAAGCTCATAACTATAGCGAATTGGTTCGAAACCAGTTGAGGTTGAGCTTCTCCTTAAACCGGTTAGTTTTGACTGATTTACCTATTGTGCATGGTTTGCCGGTTATTGTGCAAGATCGGAGGATTTACTGTCGGCATACCGACTGTCCGGTCTGATGACTGGGACGATCCGAAGGGCCGTATGGCGGGTTCTCACCGTTATAAAAAAAAACTATAGCGAATTGGTTATTGCCATGTGAGAGCAAAACCTTTCCTCTGACATATTCCAAGCAATAATATATTTCTACAAAAATAAAAATATAAAATAATTTTAAAGCCTGTGAAAACATTAAAAAATCTAAATTAATAAATTCTAACCCATGGATTAGGCCATGAAAACCATGTCTAGAATATTTTATGGGCTTTTAAGTTGGGCCTGTAAAATAAAAGTTGGATATTTTTTATTAATTATTTACATTCAATTAATAAATTAAAGATATAAATTCGAATTTATCCGATTCCTCCTCCTCTGCGTCCGCGGTTTCTTCTCGTCTGAGCTCCTGCAAAAGCTAGGGTTTAAGCAAAATCTGGAGAACAACACTGTTTAAAATTTTGAATCCTGTTCCCGAGGGAGATTTGCCAGCGAAATCGTATTTCCGGAGTTTGAAGATGGCGCGAAATGAGGAGAAGGCGCAGTCGATGCTGAATAGGTTCATCGCCATGAAAGAGTCGGAGAAGAAGAAGCCAAGGAGAGGCGTCCTTACCTGGCATCAGAGTGCCGCGATCTCTCTGAAGCCGACAGGTGTAGGCAACAGATCATGCGAGAGATCGGTCGAAAAGTCGCCGAGATTCAGAACGAAGGGCTAGGCGAGCACCGGCTCCGAGATCTCAACGGGAGATCAACAAACTCATACGCGAAAAAACGCATTGGGAGCGACGGATCTTGGAGCTTGGAGGTCCGAATTATGCGAAACACGCGCCGAAGATGACTGACCTCGAAGGAAACATCGTCGACGTCCCGAACCCTAGCGGTCGTGGACCTGGGTATCGTTATTTCGGCGCGGCGAAGAAGCTTCCCGGAGTGAGGGAGCTCTTTGAGAAGCCACCGGAGCTGCGGAAGCGAAGGACGAGGTATGATATATACAAAAGGATCGATGCGAGCTATTATGGGTATAGAGATGAAGAATATGAGATTCTGGATAAGTTGGAGAAGAAGGCGGAGGAGGAGATGCGGCGGAAAGAGGTAGAGGAATGGCGGAGAGTGGATAAAGTGAGGAGGGAAGCGAGGAAGGGAGCGACAGAGGTGAGCGTTGGTGCGGCGGTGAAGGAGGTGCTGTTTGAGGAGGAGGAGGAAGTGGTGGAGGAGGAGAGAAGGAGAGAGAGGGAGAGAGTGGAGAAGGAGAAGCAGAGCGAGTTCGTGGTGCACGTTCCATTGCCGGACGAGAAGGAGATCGAGAGGATGGTGTTGGAGAAGAAGAAGATGGAGTTGCTGAGTAAGTATGCGAGTGAAGATTTGGTGGAGCAGCAGACTCAAGCCAAATCCATGCTCAATATCCAGAGATAGATAGAGATGATCCATGGGTTCATCGTTGTGGTAACTAAAGTTTCGAGCTTCTTGAAAATCTCTCCGACGAATTGATTGATGATACTGTAATTGGTCTGTGATCAGGTTAATTGAGCTTGTTTGTTTCTCACTGGGAACATGTAATAAGCTTGCTGGTGCTTGGATTTAGGTAGAGAAACTGATTGTGAGCGACCATGAATTTGGATTGTCTGGAATTTTATGTTGGAAAAGGTTTCTTGATAATAGAGAGGGGTTGCTTAGATTTTGATTCATATACACATTGACATTATCACGTGTTTTTTTGTCTCTCAACTGCTTTAAGATATAGGACGATGGGGAATGTTTCAAGTAAAACCATAACACGGGTATTGCAAAGCAGATGATGGGTTTTGATATCCGTATGGCATTGAACAAATGTAGATCTATCTGATTTGGCTTAGCATCTTGCCTTGTCTTACTGAAATCGGATTATCGGTCACGAGGCTGGTTCATTCCTTTCTAGGAAGAACTTCGTTTCTCGGATTCTCGGGTTTTCTCATTACGCTCTTTTGGTTTCATTCCTTTCAGGAAGAACTCGGATTCTCGGGTTTTTCTCATTCTGCTGTTTTGGTCTCATCAAAAGAGAGACGAGAGAGGCAGAGGGAGGAGGTGAAAGAGAAGAGACATGGAAATGTTGCTTTGTGTTCTTCTTTATTTCTTTAGAAGAGGAGCAAAGGTATGTGTTTCGGAGAAAACCCACAAGAGGCCTATGTGTTTTTCCATCTCTGTAGACAAACTGCGAGAAACAGCGATATCCAATGAAGTTTGTGTTTTGTTCGGTAAGGAAATGTAGTTTGTAGAGTTATTTACTCGCTCGGGGCCGGTTCACAAAACTGGTTTGTTTGGGTCATGATCTAAAGTTGTATTGAACCAAATAATTTTTAGTTTACGAAAAAATGGATGGGATTGAGCTAGACTAAAATATTTGAGATCGGGATTGAACTAAACCAATTTTTACATTCTTAAATTATATTGTTTTTTCATAGAACCGAACCAAACGGATTGAACTGAACCGAACCGATTTTTTTAGCGGGTTTGATTTTTCTCCACCGGGAAGAGAAATTCAAACAAAGGCACGAGACTCCAAATAAAGAAACTCAAATTGGATTGAATTGTGGGTTTTATTTGGTCAGTTCGGTTTTCCAAACTGTCTTACTTTAAAATGTTCTCTGTTTTTTCGATTTTGAATAAATTGTATTCATTAATTTTTACTACAATTTAGTTGTTTAAAAATCAGTTAGTTTTATTATTTTTATATTTTATATCGCTCTGTATACTGGAAAACTAAATGTGAAAGACAGATGATGAATCATGATATCACGATCACGTGCAAGGGCGGATCTACGTTCGAAGAAGCGGGGTACTGGCCCCACTGTTTTTTTTTCTTTTAAGAACATTAGTTATATAATTTAATAAAATTTAAAAAAAATATAATAATGCCCCCGTTGAAATTTATTGTGGACCCCATCATTTTTATTTTTTAATGTATTTTATGATGTTAGTTAACAAATCAAATAAAAAAATTGTATTTTATTTTTTTTCTCATTTTCTTCGTTATCTTCTATTTTCAAATTTTTTACTTTAGTTTTTAATCAAATAAAAAAATATTATCAATTCAATTATAATTAAATTAAAACTAAAATTAAAAATAAATATTTATAAAAACTATGAATTTAAATAATCTTTATTATTTTTTATTTATTTGTTTTTTTGTATTTATTATACTTATAAATTTATCTATATATATTTATATATTTATTTAATTTTATTTGATTTGGTAAAGAAAACAATAAATAAACTTTTTTAAAAAATTTTGTAATAATATCTCAATATAGTGGTAAAAGTTCAACCGATAATTTACTCAAAAAAAATTCAATCGATAATACATTAAATTTTTAATTTTTGAGTTATTGTCTAGTTTATTTTATCAAAAAAATATATTTTAAACAATTATAAATAGAACTATATAAATATATTTTAAAAAATAAAAAATCATAGAATTTAATGGTTGAAGCTAAACATTTTGTAGATGATATTTTTTATTAAAATTTTATAATATATACATATATATTTATATTATTATTGTTTCTGGATCCACCACTGATCACGTGCTCTCTTCCATTTAGCTTTCCTTGCAGACGTACAAAAAGAGAATCCAATGTCCCTGCAAAAGTTTCAAAAACTACACATTTTAAAATTACCACATGTGCGTGTACATTTATAGATACACGCATGGACATTATACATGTACGTATACATGTTACTTACGATCCAATCTGTTCCAAGATTTTTGGCTTTCGTTTCACTAAAAAAATGGTGGTAAACTAAAATTTAAATACAATTAGTTCGACAATTCTTTTTTTTTTTTTAAGGAGCATTCACTATGTCAATAGTCAACAGACGGCGAAATAAAACAGTAAAATAAATCAATAAATCTCAAAATATTATTCAGAAAAAAACAAAAGAAAAATATACACTGAAATCTTCCTGACCGTTGAGATGAATACAAGACGTCTGGAGATACGAACCAAACCCACATGAGCGATCCCACACACACCAACACCTCCCCCCCTCTCCCTCTCTCAGCTCTGAGCTCCTCTCCAATGGCGGATTACGACGACGAAGACGAGATCGACCACCAGGACCACCAGCACCACCGTCGGATCATACCCAAAGAGACCGCGCTCCAAGCCCTCAACACCATAATCCAACTCCACTTCGAGAAAACCCTAGAGAAAAAACGAGCCGTGGACCAACAGAAGAAGAAGCTGCACAAGCTGTTCCAGCTCTTCTTCATCTTCCTGGCCATCGTCTTCGCCGCCCTGTCTCAGCCCTCCGGCCGGATCCAGTGCCGCCATTGCTGGGCACCCATCTTCTTCCTCTCCTTCTCCCACCTCGTCTTCTACGTCTCCGTGGCTCAAACCCTCCGATGCGTCAACGGGTTCAAGTACCAGAGACGGTGCCACAAGCTGACCCTCGGCCTCGCCACCGAGAAGCTCCGCCTCTTCAAGGCCAGGATCGCCGCCGGAGACGACGGGGATATCGCGGGAGATCTGGAGGTGCAGTACCAGGAGCCGCCGGAGAACTACTTCGGGAAGTTCAAGAGGAACTGGGCTCTCCACTTCGGCTTCCTCATCCTCCTCTACGCCTTCATGGTCTCCTTCTCCGTCGTCGTCCTCTGCTTCTGAAACCCCATCCCAGGGGTATTTTCGGTGTTTCAGGACAGGCTCGTCCCGTTGTCCCGGGGTAAAATGGTAATTTAAGTCCAACTCAGTAGAGAGGGAGAGATTCGAGGATAGAATGTTACAATTGTTCTACCGTCACCGTGTATGTAACAAAATCGGTCCACGTCTATTTGATGAATATCGTAATGCTTCCATCAGTTATTTTACTTGGGACGTTCCAATTTTCTTTTAAGAAAAAGCGAAACTAAATAAGATATACTGTTTTTTAAAATTTTAATTATGAAAAAAAAATGATCATCTTCCTTAATAATTGAACCAACCCACACACCGAACCTTATACAAAATAATCGAATTTTGAAAAAACATTCTAAATTTTGGCATAAAATAATATGGACTTGCAAATAACTTCTAAACTAATACAAATAGGGTGGATGACTGTACAAAGCTCTTTTATGAAATGTCTCAAAGAGGATTAGTCATTGATACATGTATTTGCAACGCACTTGTCTAAGGTTTTTTCTGTGCGGGCAATGCCAATGTCGCTCGGAAAACTCTTTCGACGTATATGAAGAGTTGTGGTGTGAACTCTGATCTTGTAATTTACAGAGTAATACTTGATATTTTTTTGTAAGAATGGAGAACTGGTCGAGACACTTGAACTATATTACAAGTTGGAAAAGAGTGGGATTGACCTCGATATATTTGTCCATACTATTGCTATTACGATACATGGTTTGCACAAGACTCTGCAAATTTTCCTTTTTTTTTTTGTAACTGTGGGAACTCAACCACAATTCTTCGGACACATTGATAAATAAACCATCCGTTTCTGCGTAATATAACCTACAAACCACGCGTAATAGATGAACCCCCAAAGGATGATATGGATGTTGAAAAATGGAATCGAATATATGGCATCTTAGAGAATGATAGACTCCTTCACCATTACATCAAACCCTTAGCCCCTAGGAGCCTAATAAGATTGATGTGGCATTACAACTGTACGATAGGGGTTGTTTTTTTTTTTTTTAATTGTTCTCACATCGATTGGTCGGTTCTTTACACAAGTTTGATGTGTTGTTGTCTACGGGTGTCCAAATGGATATATCATCTGATAATGGAAGCAAAGCATGGGAATTCCTCATCAACTTGCTGAAAATGCAAAACGGCGTCACAAAACCTTAATTTTGCTTCATGCATTTGGTCATTTCGAAAAGTACAATCTGGCGATGCACTGTTCTGTGTTATTAAATAATTGGCAGAAAATTATATTGAAATATTTTCTTTGGTATAAAATAAAATTCATAAAAACTACTACAGAAAATTATAAAACAAAGCATAAAAACTAAACAGAAAATTACAATAAAAAAATAAATAAATAAAACAGGTCAGCGACAGCTTAGCCACGCAAAGGATTTGATCAAAAAAAAAAAAAAAAAAAAAAAAAAAAAAAAAAAAAAAACAGAAGAACCACACCGCTCACAGGAAGAAAAAAAAACCAGAAATCGCGGAGCTTCTTCAACCTCTCCTTAGATCCTTTCATCGTTCGATCTCTCTCCGATTCGATGCCGTCTCGTAGACGAACCCTCCTAAAAGTCATCATCCTCGGAGATAGCGGGTAATCCTCGGAGATTCTCTTTTTTTCTCTGTGTATCTATTTTGTCTTGTGTATGTATCTGATTGCGATGAGTGGTTTGATGTTGTTGATGAGAACCAGTGTTTTTTTCCTTTCTGATGTTTAGATTCGATCTGTTTGGGTATTTCGTGGGTGGCGAATTTGGCTGATTAATTGTTGCTGGATTTGATTTTTCTTGTTCCGTCGTGATTAATTCGGTTGTTTGAGATCCGTAGTGGATTATAGATGCTGTTTACTTAGGATTATGCGATTTATCCGGATTAAGTGGTAATTAAAGGTTCGTTTAGTTTTTATGGCGATTTGAGAGGATTTTCGTATATTTCTGTGTTATTAGTTTCGATTTTGCAATGGAGAATAGGTAGAACTAAGTTCAGTTGAAGAACTGAAGATGCTGATACTGTTATCTTCTTGAATAAGGGGTTTTACCAAACTTCAGTTAGCTTGACCATAATTTTGGTATAAGGATTGTTCTTAAGTAACTTTTTTTTTTTTAATTCTATGTAGTGATTTCTCAATCAGTGTATAAATTCGACGGCTTAATAGGGGAATTTCGAGTCGCGGTGTGCTTGTTTGTTGAATCTAACATCTATGGGTTTTGGTGGAAATCATCGGTTTGCTGCCACAGTTTTTCTCATTATGTGTTTGCATTTATTTGTCTGCTTTCGGTCACGTCTTGAAAACTTGGGATTAAGACGATGTTGATATTGATGTTGATGTTTCTGTCACGTCTTGGCAATTAAAGGAGTTCTCTTTCTGCCCAGACGTTCTTAGTTTATGTTTTTTCTTCTTAGTGAGAGTGAATATGTCATAATTTACAAGATCTGTCCGATTATGAATACTTGAAACGACTGAGTGAGTTGCTGATATATCCATCCCGACTGTTCTTCTGTTATGGTTATTCAAGTGAGACTCATTTGGGTTGTTCCGACTTGTCTTTTGCAGGGTGGGGAAGACCTCGCTGATGAATCAGTATCCTTTCGATGTAAGAATATTCTAAAATGGTTATAGACATGGTCCTAAATAGTTTTGTTTTTCTATTTGTTAATGCGGTTATCGCTGCCAACTGCCATGTAAGTAACGTGTTTCTTTTGAGCTAGAGGAGTTATCCCTATTGTTTTGCCATAACATCATGCCCTCCTCAGATATGTAAATAAAAAGTTCAGTAACCAGTACAAGGCTACTATCGGGGCTGACTTCTTGACCAAGGAAGTACAATTTGAAGACCGGCTTTTCACATTACAGGTTTGTAGTTGTGTTCTCTCAATATATTTCCTCAGCTTTCTTTAAGAGTAGATTTCACGTGCTTAACAAGTAGAATTTTCTCTGAAATTGGGATGTGGATTCCGTTCCATTGTTGGAGGCAATGAATTAAGAGGAACAAATCATCAAATTTATGAACTTCAGGCTGGCCTTTTTGGTGCCATACCTGCAAATGAATCTTGCTACCTTACTTTTTGAAGGGGACTTAGTTCTTCCACTGTACTGTTCACCCCCACACCAATCGACAACTTTTTTTTTTTGTTTTTATTATTCACGTTGTTGTCCTTGAGTGAGTCGGGTTATTAGGAAACCTATGTGTGGGTCTCACTTGCGATGGGCATTTCGGTTCTCCGTTCAGATTCAATTATTTCGATTTTAGAGAAACATTATCCAATTGGTTTTTATACTAGATCCAGTTTGGGTTCGGTTTATAATATAAAGACGCTTATTTTCCAAAAAAATTTCGATTTTTCCAATTATTTTTATATTTGGTTTGAGTTCGGGTGTTCGGTTTAAGAAAAATCATAGTCATTTCATTTATATATCGAATTCAATCTGTTGTGTCTATAAGTTATTTAGTTAGATTTAGATTTATGCATAACCGAACCGAATGTCCACCCCTAGGTTTCGGCGATTTTATTTTATAAAACTATGATATCTAGAAAGAGCGACTCTCATAAACTGTCTCATGTGCTTTTCAGCCATGTATGGTGTGTACCTTTTTCCTTTTTTTATCTCCTTTAGGAGTAAGTTGTGTGGAGATGGATATTACAGATATGGGACACAGCTGGACAGGAAAGGTTTCAGAGCCTTGGGGTAGCCTTTTACCGTGGTGCTGATTGCTGTGTTCTCGTATACGATGTCAATTCCATGAAATCATTCGAGAATCTCAACAACTGGAGGGATGAATTTCTGATCCAGGTGCTTTCTGGTTTTTCTAGAGAATTTATAAAAACAATTGTTGTCTTCCTGCGTGCTAAACAGGGATGTCTCTTGTTGCAGGCGAGTCCATCAGATCCGGAGAATTTCCCATTTGTTGTTATTGGAAATAAGATCGATGTGGATGGTGGAAACAGTCGTGTGGTAAGTGTATCTTCTACATCTCCCTCCACCGAGCATGTTAAGGGTGGGTACGGACCGGGTATCCAACTCTTTTCGGTGTACTTGTTTCAGCCTCATCCTTTCGGTTTTTTCGGTCAGATTATCCTGATCTTGATCTGGTGAGGGTCGGGTACTTGAGATTCGGGTACCATGGAGTGTGATGAGGGCGAGGTGAGAAAAGAGAGAGGGTGGAGGAGCAAGAGATGTATCTGAGGAGCGAACGATTAAGGATGAGCGCCGAGCGGCAGAGGCGATTCTAAGGTAAGGCGATAAGGCGGAGGCATACCCCTATCTTTTTTTCTATTAATAAATCCAATAAACCTAATCTCAGCCTCCGCCCCTTCACGCTCATCCTCTCCTCGTCCCATATCCTCCTCTCCCTCTCTGGCTCTCGTATCCGCCGGGTACGAGTAATCAGTGGTCGAAATCTGAACTCGAATTTAAAGGTCGGGTTTTCGTCGTCGTCTGGCTCCTACGATAGATGAGTACCCGGAATTTCGGGTATTTCGACTTGTGGAACGGGCAGATACTAGAAATTTTGTGTTCGTGTGTCTAGTGAACGGGCATTATTTTTTTTTGCCACGGTATCATGAACTTCGTATGTTCTCCAATTGCAATAATCACAGGTTTCAGAGAAAAAAGCTCGAGCATGGTGCGCCTCCAAAGGAAACATTCCATACTTTGAGACCTCTGCCAAGGAAGGCACCAATGTAGAAGATGCTTTCCAGTGCATAGCCAAGAACGCGTTGAAGTGAGAGTGAATATGTCATAATTTACAAGATCTGTCCGATTATGAATACTTGAAACGACTGAGTGAGTTGCTGATATATCCATCCCGACTGTTCTTCTGTTATGGTTATTCAAGTGAGACTCATTTGGGTTGTTCCGACTTGTCTTTTGCAGGGTGGGGAAGACCTCGCTGATGAATCAGTATCCTTTCGATGTAAGAATATTCTAAAATGGTTATAGACATGGTCCTAAATAGTTTTGTTTTTGGCGTTTAACATTTTCACGGGCTCGTTGTTTGTTTTACGCATCGGATTTTCGTATGAACTACTCTCTCTCTCTCTCCTCAGATACTTGCCGGACACTATCGATGTCGGGACAACGAGCCAACAGAGGTCGAGTGGGTGTGAGTGCTGAAGAACATCATTTTCGGATATCGGGTTCACATCAGCAGCGGTTTGATCTTCTCATAACCTGTGTTTCTATCAGTTACATGTTGTACATTGGTGTTGTGTGGGTAAAATTAAAAGAGGGATAATATACCTACAAGAACCTTGATATCGTGCCCTTGTCATCTTTGGTCTTTGGTTTGGTCAGTAAACCTATTTTCCAAGTTTGGTAATCCATCGTCTCTCTCGTGGCCGAGAGTATTGTTTAGATGTGTTAGTGGTCGGTATTTCTAGTAAGAAACACAAAGCCAAAGTCGAAACCAAGAGAATTATTATATAATTCAATTTTAAAATTGATTTAATTTTTAGTGATTATTCAATGGAATATAAAAATAAAAATGATAATTTTAACTAAGGTTAAATAGGAATGAAATTCGAATCTTTAAACAGACGTAACTTTTTATAAAATAAAAACTAATAATAAATAGTCAGATTAGTATACAAGTTCAAATGAAAATAATTATTATAAAATCAAACCCTTAAACATTGAAAATATTCGCTTAGAGGTCAGTTAAAAAAAAAAAAAAGCAACGCCGATATAATTACTGTCACCGCATACACAAAATCTCAGAAGGGACACAAAATGGCACACACACAACCATCGATCATTTTTAATCCTAAGAGTTCAACACATACGAGAATTACTTATTCAACATACCCATGTGATCGATGCATACATACATACGTATATGCATATATATATATATATGTATGTATGCATGGACGAGTGTGTGTATGTATATGTAGATTAATCTAATCGTCTGGCTCGTGGTAAATAATGACGACGGATTTAGCGTTGAAGTTGCGAATGAACTTGTCCTGCTTTGTACGGAACGGATTGTTCAAAAGCTCTTCGATGGGTTCAGGCAATGGTTCTTCTTTCCCCATCGCTTCCTTCCAATACTCTCTCGCTTCTTCTTCCTCCTCCCTTCCCCCCGTTCCTTCGCTCAGATCCTGCAACTGCCGTCACCGTAGTAACAGAGAAAATAATAAAAACTATTACGCAAAAAAAAAAAAATAATAATAATAAAACTTGGGTTTCGAAAAAAGAGGGGTTTTTTTTGTAATGGAAAAATTAAAACGGGGATTTTCAAAAATATGTTCCAAAGATCCCATCAGAAAAATCAAAGGAATTAAGGAGATTTAATACTGTTATTACCAGAAGAATGCTGACGAGGAAGAACAAGACCATGAAACGCCTCATGCCTGAATCCGAAACCGAAACTGAAACTGAAACTGAAAATGATAATATTCTTTTAAAAGCTTTATTTATTTATTTATTTTTTTGCTTTGATTTTTGTCTCTGCGGAGTATTTGATTTCTTGACGGTTATTATATAGAGAGGCCTATTTGAAGAAAGTTGGCATCTTCCTCTTACTTTTTTGGGGGGTGGGTTCTTAAAGTTTTGTATATGCATGATTAAAGGTTTCGTTCGTATTTCAATTGTTTCCGTTTTTAAGATTTTATATTTTAAAAAAGTATATTTATTTATTTTTATATATTCTATTAGTTTCGGGTTCCATTTTCTTAAAATTAATTTTTTTTTTTAAATCTATTTTGTTGCTTTCTCTTTTATATTAGTTTTTATTTTTTTAGTTTGATTAAACCATTATATCCTATTAGATTTAAATCTAATTTGATTAGGAGATATTATTCTGTATGTGATTTTATTTATATATCATGAAATATTTACTACCCTCCCGACAAAAAAAAAGGTGGTATCTCCAATTTTTTTTTTTATTTTATTACTTTTATCTCATAAAAAAGTTAGGTGAACATATTTATATAATAGCAATAAAATCAATATAAACTCAAATCTGGATAATTTAACTGATAAAATGGAGATGCAAAGTATTTGTTTCGTTTCGAATTTGAATTCAAGTGTGAAAAACGAACGTATAATCCAAATCATATATAGATGATTTCTGGCTTGTCCAAGATATGCTGTTATAAAAAAATTAATATAAATGTCAAGAAATGTGGCTCAAACGGAGTAAAGTGCGTCCATAGCCATTTCAAAATTAATTAACTAATCATCATTAGTTGTCATCTAAATATTTCTCCATGAGATTCATGATGGTATTGGTGGGGCCATTTGAGAAGGACTCTTATCCGTATTTGCTGGAATCCATCCACCATGGTATTGGTCGGTCATCAAACCTTTCTAAGAGTTTTATTTTTAAAGTGAAATGTGAATTAATTGTTAGAGAATATTGCTTCCATACATCATTTTTTCCCAAGACTTTTGTACTTTGCTTAGTAGTTTTTATATTAATCTCTATATCTAATATTAGTTCGTTCCAACAAATAATTTCAGATGAGTTTCGCCATACTTTGCTTACTAGCGATTCAATGAAAATTTTTAATAAAAATATTAGTTTAATGGAAAAATTTTATATACAATACCCAAATTTTCTCTCAATTCATTCTCTTAGAGACCACCATGACTGACTGGCATTGCAAGAGTTGGTTTTGTCTTCGGTTTCAACGAAAATGAACCAGATTTGAGGCAAATCCATGATAAACTATTCTTTGGCGACATACGAGGTTCCTGACAACGACAAATCTGCATCATAAGAGAAAGAACACCAGACGAAATCTATATCAATAGAGAAAACAGATAAGTCTCCATATCAATCTGCTATATGTGTTCATTTATCATGATAACAACCTGAGAATTACAATAAATCTCATTCATCTCACCATGTAAAATATACAAAGATATAGTTTTTAAATATAAAAAATATTATAAATAAAACATATTTATGGTGAAATCTACCATTAGTGTTCATAAAGACTTACTATTTATATATACGGTATTCATATATACACTTACTGTTCACACCAACCGACCGTATACATAAACAATAATTTCAGAATTTCTATAAATAGATAATTTGGGTTCTTTAATTTATACACTTTCAATAGAGAAAGAAATAAGAGATATATTGTTGTCTATTCTCCTAAACAATCGATTTCGGTTCATAATTAACGATATGATTTTATGATCGTCTATATTCTTTCGTTTTCACAAAAAAAAAGTATAATTGTTTTTAAAATAAATTCCACTCATACATGATAGAAAAATATTGCCTACGTCTAACATGACAAACGAAAAATATTATATATTGTCACGAAATATTACGTTAATTTTCTATATTTTCTAATTTAAGAAAATAAATCTAAGAAATTTTACATAAATAGATGTCACAAAACATGATTTAGTAGATTTTGTTTCTTTCTTTTCATGAAATTTCTATTGGGGATATAGTTTGAAACTTTAATATTTTAATGCTCTATAACAATATAGTTGAGAAATATTGTTTAAATTCGTTTCAAAAACAAACTTACAATGACCTACAATAATTTTGTTAGCTATTTATTCTTCTATAAAATAAAAGAAATTTTAAAATTGGTCCACGAGTTGAAGAAAATAATTTTTAAAATCTAGTATTTTATCATCTATCATGAAGTAATTATTTGTTGAGTTCAAATAAAAAATAAAATTAGTTATGGGCATACGTCGGATAATCGAAAATTTGAGAATATATGAACCAATATCTCAAATATAACAACTCAAAATTCGATTTTGTATTTTATATTTGGGATATCTGAATCTATCGGTTTGAAGTTAAATCTGAATTTCGTAAAAAAAGATATAATTTAATAATTTTCATTAAAGATCTATGATATATGATAATTTTGTAAATTTTATTAAATAACAGAGGTATTTTTTTTTTATATTTTTTGTATATGTGGATGCAAAACTTTTGAAATGAATATCTAAATTCATATATATATTGTAAATATATTTTTCGAATTTAATTCATATAACTTGAACATCTGGTTTCGGATAGAATATCTATTGATCACGTAACTTAGTTTAATACAAGAACTAATTGAGAGTATTATTTGATATACGTAATAATATCATCTTTATGATCCTAACAAAAATGATGTATGGCCAAACCTTCAAGTACTTTGGTAACCTTTTTGTTTTGTGGCATTGAAGCTTTAATCTGTCCAAAGATTCTGTAACAAAATGGTGCTTTGCCAAACTTCAATCTACTTCCCCCTCTCATAATAAAATCGATTCCATCTTATCCTTAGAGATTAAGAGAATGCTAAAAGTGATATGTTATGGTCCTTGTCATAAGTGGGTCTAGATCTTTTTCTGCAAATATATATTCACGGTGGTACTCGATTCATTACATTATCTTTAGGGGAAAAAAGAATATGCCATCTTTTATATATATTATATATATATATATATATATATAATGATGCTCTTAAGTACTAAATCACCAAATAATATCACTCGGGTTTTTTTATATTAGAAATCTAGAGTAGTTAGATGTTATCAAATTAAGAAATAGATAGGGTTGGAGAAATAAATAAGGTTTAAAGGAATTCAATTTTCTTCTTTATTGTAATTTTCTTTGTTATTTATAGTATGAAAAATAAAATTCTAAACAAAAAATAAATTTAAATATGAAACGGTTGGATTTCTCCATTTGTACATCTGACAAAGTCAACTTGAATTTCTCCTTCAATAATGTCCATTAGTAGTGACATTTGACATTTCTTAGCAAATATTATTATCTTCATTCATTTAATTTTTTTAACACGAAATATACGTGAAAGTGCATACCAACAATAAAATTAATCTAAAACCAACGTTTTTTCAAAATAAAAAAAACAAATATTAGATAAAAATATTCAGTTATTTGGACTCATAGATTTTCGTTTAACTTTGAAAATAGTAAAGTTTAATAACAATTTTTAATGATATTTTTTTTCAGTTAATCTATTGACTAGTTTTATAATCTACCAATAAAAAATAAGATTATTTTGTAAATATTATTTTCATTTAATTTAAAATAGGAGAGTGTGTGACAATTTAAAGTCAACGATTTGAGAGAGTGGGATGTGATGAGTTGCCATATGGCATTCATTGGAATAATGAAGTCAACGAAGCTTCACGAAAAAATCAATGGGCAATCATGTTGGTCTTTTTTCTATTTTCTTTTTATTTATTCTTATTTTTTAATTTAATTTTCATATCTGTCACACCAAACTTTTTACGGAAAGAGTACCTTAAGACTTTGTGAAAATGACTATTTTTTCATACATTTTTTTAATGTCACAATAAAGACAAACATTATCAAGATCACAGAATATTATTTTATTTTGTCAATATCATGTTATTATATAGATCATTCTATAGTTAGTGTTGGCCTAACAATTTATATGTACATCAATTTTTATTTATATATGCATCTCATTGGCTCTTAAACAAATTATAATAAACTATCTACTTCACTTTGTTTTGAATTGTTACCTAATTTTCCTTCCATTTTTTTTAATTTTCCATTACAAAAACCTAAATAAAATAAAAACAGAATGCTTATTTTTTTCGGTTAAAGCAAGAAGCTGCTCAACCAAATTATAATGAAGGAAACAACACAGCAACGAAAATAAAATTGATGTATGTAGACATAAAAGATCAAACTCCGGAGTCAATGTTCTCAATGGGCTCCTAAATCTCCTCGGACAGTGATAGGTTCTTCCAACGGATGAGCACTTCCTGTCCACCGCCGCTTGTCCGCTTGCATATCCCGTGGCCCGGCAATAGGGGTGGCCATTTCGGTTATTAACCGAATAATCGAGTCGAACCGAATCAAATAAGATATAACCGTACCTGAACCGAACCCGACATCAAAACCGAATGGTTATGATTTTCTTAAACCCGGAAAACTGAAACCGAACCGAACCGAACAAAATAAAAAAATAATCGAAAAAACCGACAATTTCTTTGAAAAAATGATTTTTTTTACCGAAATCAAACCGAAATTTATATAAAAACCGAATGGTAGTTTTCCTATAACCAAAATAACCGAATTCGAATATAACCGAATCGAACCTGAATCAAAACCCGAAATGGCCATCACTAGCCGACCGCTCTCTGGTTTGTCCTCCCGCTCGAACTCCGGAGTCAATCCCGGCGGCATGATGACCCAAAAACATGAACACAGGGACAGAAGCACAAAGGACTGGCGAAACAAGAGAAGTATAATAGACTTACGACATGGCAAGGGTCGCACCAAAATATTTCGTACAAAGAAGTAAAATGTGAATGAGACCTGTCAAATACCAATCATGACGACACTGTTGTCTCGAAGGTCCTATGTACAATTGTTGTCAAACACTGTGAGACATCAGGGACAAGGTTTGGAGTTTTTAGATACTCAAAGACACAACTGAAGACACTTCTAGAAGCTGACACACTCGAACCGCCATTAAGGATGCTCCCGTTGCCA